CACACACACACACACACACACACACACCTGGCTGGACTCATTACTGACTCTATCCCTCTGCCAAAAAGCTTTTACAAAGAATGGAGAAAAACATTACTGGGGTTTTCCACCACACTCATGTGGAAAGGATAAAAAATTATCTTTGGGTGTAACGATTCTCTTAAACAAGTTTGGTTCAGAACTTGATTTTTAAGCCACAGTTTAGTTCATATCTAAACTAAATCTTGGTGATTTTGAGGCTGTGGGGTCAAAAATCTCAGGGTAATTATCCATCTTGTGCCAATTAAAGTCTAGCTTTTAGCATTAGTTTGATTGGAACAACAAGGAGTAATAGTGTAATGTGAAATATACAGCTTAGATGAAACGTCTTTACATGTGTTAGTTTCTATTGCCAAAGTAAAATTCATTTGTTTTCTTGCGGCTGTGTCGGCAGGTTCCGGTGTCACAGTTATGCACATAATTTAACCCTCCATTTCTTTTTCCTCCAGGTGAGCCCATTGCCCAAAAATCGATCTCCACTGACTTCAAATGGAGGCAGTGGAACCTCCTTTTCCCGCTGGAGTCTGGCTAGCACGAGTACAGGCAGCAGGCCTTGTCAGACTTACGAGAATCTAGACTTTCTGTACAAAAATCCACCTGCCAACAGTGCCCCCTCTGGAGCATCAGGGCCCCCACCGCTGCCAGCGAAATCCATCCAGAGAGGTGAGCTACTGTCTTGATGTAAATACTTCTGTAAAGACTTTACACTTCATAGTTATTCATCAAGAATGATGAATGCTGGAACACTCATTTTGTTAAATAGCTGTATATCAGTGTAGATCACCACCAGCAAGTCAATGCTGTTTTCCAAATGAAGCCACACAACAGCTGTTGTGTACAGTTTAGTGACTCTGCTGTGGCCTGTAATAAAATCGCACAAGGAAAGCTGACAAAAATGCACCGTCGCTGCCAGTAGTGCTTGGCTTGTTTCACTGGATGGATGAAGTTGGTTTCAATTACATTTTCAAAAAACGTTTGTCTTTATTAGTTGAAATAAGAGATTTAAAATGTCATTTTAGATCTTGGCCACTCATTTTTGAATCAGTGAATAACTCAATTAATTATTTCATGTTGCTTTTACAAACAGATCCAAAGCACAGTGTGGCCTTGTTTGACTTTTGTATTTCCCTCCGCAGGACGCTCAGACCCCCAGATTTCGGTCACAACACAGGAAGGGAACGGCATACCCAGACGTCGCTCTAACCCGGTGTCCAACTCGTCAAGTCCCCAGACGCAGGCGAGACACAGCGCTACTTCACCCAACACAGACAATCAAGGCCAAGGTGGGAGACCCGCTAAGTCTGGAGGTTTGCTGAGGGGGCAGAGGCAGACGTGGGAGGGCCAACCTGGTGCCGGCTCTGGGTCTCAGAGCAGTGTTGCGTCGACGTCCTCTCAGAACCACATAGGGCCTGTCAGGTAAGACGGCAACTGGTTTACACATTTCTTTTGACCCACTTTTATAAACTTGTTATTGTCAGGTGTAAAGAGGGACACAGGAAGCATCCACTTCAAGCTAACACTTTGTCTAAATGTTGTAATATATGATGATTCTCCAGCTCAGAGAAGACCACGTCTTATCGACGGACCAGCAGTGGAGGAGGCAACCAGGGGAAATGTGGCGTGTTGTCTCCAAGCTGCGTGGGCAGCCAGGAGGAGCTGTACTGCAGTTTAGTGGGCCTCACCCCGGCTCCTGCTCCAGCCCCTTCATCATCCTCATCATCCTCATCATCCTCATCATCATCACCAACTGTGACCTGTGCCCCTCGATCCCGCAGGAACGCTATGGTAACAGCCACACACACAGAAACCTCTAGCTCCATGTCGCAGTCTTCAATTTCCTCTCTCTGGAGAATCAGAAAAGGCCTGTGAGATTTCTCAGTCAATATAAATGTGGTGGTGGGACACTGAGAAATGTCCATGTCTCCTGCAGGTCTCAGGCAGCCGGCCACATCATAAGCGTGTCAAGGCTTTAGTGGACTGTCGAGCAGTCAGCTCCGAGCAGCTCGCCTTTTTCAAAGATGAGATCATTGTGGTCACGGCCACCAATGACCCCCACTGGTGGGTAAGTGCAACTGCAACTTTTTCAGTCCGTCAGTTTTAGCTGTGAATTGAAGGATTTCACTTGAACTTGTAAAGTGAAATATCTACTGTATATTATGGATTTTCAATCAGATCAAAAATGTGTTTTTTCCTTATTCTAACAGGTCGGTCACATAGAGGGGGAACCATCCAGGACCGGGACCTTTCCTGTCAATTACGTACACAAACTGACAGACTGAGGGACGTGGAAGCATAAAAAACATTGTATAGTAACATACTCGAAGAACTGAACCAGAATAGGATGCTCGCCAGAACCTAATCATCACACAGCGGATTTAATCCACAGGAGAGGACAGTGTTATTCTCCTGGATCCAACTCCAACGAAGGGACACCTGAGGATTTAAAGGACTGTTTAAGGGATTATACATTTTAACATGTTCTCATTCTGGAAACTAAAAAGGGAACATCAGGGTTTTACAGCCCCATTAAGCCTTTTATTCCAAATAGTTGCAGAAGTGCTTTTCCCGCTGTTGGTCTGTGTGTTTCTACACCTCTGAACCATGAACCACTACTAGTAGGTACAGAATAATTTGTGGCTGGGAAACTGCTTTAATGTCCATTTAACCTTTAATTACACAGTATACTGCAAATGTTTTAAGTTGTCTAGGATCGGTACCTAAAGGCAAAACTTAATTATAGGGCAAACCCCTTTAAGGCACTTTAAATCCATGGAGAATAAATCTTCTGAAGAGCTGCCAGAGCTGTAAGTGTGCCCCAAGTCAGCCGCTGAACATGGATAAAGCTGCTCTTTTGTTTTGAGCGGTAACTTGTCTCGTCCTCTAGATCACAGGCTACTGAGCACTTGGACATGCGGTTCAGACCTGCCCAGTGTCTGTTGCATCCTGCCTGCCTCGAGACTCTAAAAGTGGCCTCGCCAGCCAGTCTCCAAACAGAACGCCAGCCGTCTGGGCAGCCCGGAGGAGAGATCTGAAACATTAGCTCAGCCATCTTGACTGGGCACGGCTCGCAGCCTGCATGCAGAGGAGGAGGATCCAGTTTCTTCTGGCTCCAGCCATCTGTCTCTCTGAAGGACCTGGGATAACGTTGGTGTGTTAGGGGGGAAAGGGAAAAAGAAAAGACTCTGTGCTCTACCAGGAAATGGCACTTAAAGAGGGCTTGTTAGTAACAGCATGTCCACTGAACACACAGTTACTTACTGTAGGCATGCGGGGATCACACCAGCCACACACAAGCTCACTTGCACTTACTGCACACACACACATTAGTGTTGTTAGGTAGTAGAGACCTTAAGGGAAGAAAGAAAAGGAGACGTGTAACTGCTCCACTTTTTTAAAACCAGTGACAAATATCCACATGTAACATTTCACTGCAGATCTACACAATGTGTTTGTACATATTTGTCTAAAATGTTAACTGACGTGTACAGTGTATAGCACATGGTTTCTAAAATGTTGTGCCTCATAAACAGTTGTATCATTACAGTGTTACTTCATGTCGACGTCTCCTAACTTGATGCTGTGTGTCTTCTGTTGTATTTGTCAGAGGGAGATAAGAAGAAGGTAAAGGGCACAGTTGCATAACCGGTGTTTAGAAAGGTTCCTGTCCATCTTGTTTTAAAACAAACATTGACAGGGATGAGTAAAGGTGGGCAGACGCTCACTTCCTCTCTAGTCATTCCTGGGAACAAGTCTTATGGCTCGTCATGTTTTCTGTTGACGTCGTCTTGTCACAGTATTGATGACGAGGCAAACAATGAGACAGACCTGTCAGCTGACTGCATTAGACTACTACTAAAACAAACAATGGCAAGCTAAATCACACATACTGTTCCTCGCAGAGGCCCATACACACTCCCTTTATAAAACCACATTTACATTCACTAGATCCCTGTTTTTATTTGAATCTGCAACAAATTGCACACACTCATAAATATAAGTTTGCTTAATTCAATAACCTCTGCTTGTAAAACACACTTTCTCATAAAAATGCACGCTTAGATATAACTTCTATCTTAATAGAACACAATTGAGATGATTAGGTTTCATCCAGTACCACTATAGATTGCATATAAAGATGGACAAAAATAAAATTTCCAGTTTCAATGACAATTAATCCTGGTTTTATAGCATCAAATAACTAACTAGAAGATGTTTTCCATCAAGATCCATGAATTGTTCCCTGAGAAATCAACGAGAATGTTGCAAAACACCCTCATCTCATGATGTTCAAGTAAAAAAAAAAAAAGAAAAAGATCTTTTATCCGCTGCCTGATCTGGATCTGCAGCTAAATTAAATAGGTTCTTGCCTGAGGCACATCCTTCCATCAGCTTTCATTAAAATCTCTTGAGTTGTTTTAGTATAATCCTGCTGGGGTGAAAACATTATTAGCCGATTTCAGTGAGTATATTTCAAGCATGTCTGATAAAGTCGGTCTTCAGTAGCATGGACTAGTCGTGAGCTCAGTGGACTAATGTAGTGTGGTTGGATAAAAGCCAGGAAGCTAATGCAGACCAAAGGTACAGAGCTCTTAATGCTCAGTACAACCACACATTGTTTAAATTATTTAGTTAGTGTGGGAAAGTGTACCACTTCCTATGCGAGGGGTTTATGGCCATCACTTCCTCTGTTCCTGTACCTACTATTTCACAATATGTTGAGAATCACTCATGGTGTATTGTACAGTTTTTGTTGCCAATCTAATGAATTGAACTTAAGCATCTAATACCTGGAAACCATGGACTCAAACTAGTTTAGTTACATACAGGTAGAATTTTCTATTCTCAGTTTGTTCCTCCCTGATGTTCAACACTTGCATCTTTAGTTTTCTACTCAGCAGGATTACACAAAAACTACTGAATGGATTTCCATGAAACGTGGTGAAAAGATGGGACATTGACCAAGAAAGAACGAGTACAATTTTCGGGCAAATCTAAACAAAGCAATTGATCCCAGAATTTTCCCACTTATTTACCAGGAATAATTAAAGGTACAGTGTGTAGAATGTTGTGATATCTAGTGTTGAAATTGCATGTTGCAGCTGAACACCCCTCACCACCCGCTGGAGCGACTGCTGTAAGGAGCTCAGGGAGGTGTTTGTGCTCGGAACAGGGGGGGGGGGGGGGTTCCGGGCAGCTTGAATAAAGGTAAGGGGTCTGTTGTTGGACCTTGGTGGAGGTTGTGCTCCACTCATAGTTTTTCAAATCAAATTCCAACAATATGAGTTTGACTAGGACATTCCTGAAACACTGATGTTTTTCTGGTAAAATAATAATCTACAACTAAATTTTGCCATTTCTGCCGTCCTCATAGCTCTTTTTTTTAGTCCTACTTTTTATGCCTCCCTAAAGCTAAAATCTCTCCATCCATCCAGCCATCCATCCATCTCTCTATTGGCAGTTTTCCCTGCACCTCTTCTTTAGTCTAGCCTCATCTCGCCTCCATCCGGATGTTACTTAGCCCTGACCCTCTGTCCCAAAGCCAGGATGATGAAATTCCAACCTGTCACTTACATAACGGGCCACCTCTAACAGTCAAGATAATGATGCTGCATGCCGCAGCTTACTCTCCTCTGTACACCCCCCCCC